CTTTTTTATAGTACACTTTTTAGAGAACTAAGCCAAGGACAGAACATAGACTGATCAAGACAGACAGACCCGACTGGTCGGTGCTCTTTTTACCATGCACAGTACTATCAGAGACGCAGAGTCCCGGCACTGAAAAACGGAATCTGCACTGTGACATGAAAACCTCCAGTAGATTTAATTGTCCTAGCCAGCCTTTACAAATGGAAAACTCCCATTAGTTGACGATAGAGTTACGACAAAACTTTTGAAGTGAGAAGTTCGAGTGGTTTTGTACTATATATATATATATATATATATATATATATATATATATATATATATATATATATATATATATATATATATATATATAATCCTGCTTTTATACTGTCTCTAACGAGAAACCTAGATAGACATCCAAAATTAAAATAAATAGCAAGAGATCTAGAATCAGTCTTCAACGAAGTACCTATACAAGAGATCTATTTTGGGTTATCTGAAAGGCATAACATAAATATGGGCATTCTCTCTCTTAAAAACCCATTTATAGAAATGATTCTCTTTTAAGTCTTGTTGTTGAAGAAGATGCTGAATAGGTATTGAACCTTTTGTCTGTAGCGCTATCGAAGGACCAATGTGTCTTATATTTTGGGCGTTGTTGTTGGAGATAGCCTTAGGTCACCGATAGTACGTGTGCTGCATATTACAGTATATATACTGGCATATTCTCTCTGTCTCAAATTATCCGTCGCTTTGGGTTTCCGTGCCACAAGTCTAACTCGAATTATAGAAAATATGTGCAATATTTGTATCTCTAAATAAATTTATTAAAAAACTAGATTTAGAGATCTTTTCAATGATACTAACTTTATACCATAAATATTAATATTTTTATATATATATATATATATTATATCAAAGTTGTTTCTTGAGAAGCGAAAACGACATATATTTTTAGACGGACGGGGTATATGCATGCTGGAGCCTTTTGTTTTGTTAGTTTCATCGTTTTTCCTCAGATCCCATTTCGACATGAAATAATGTCAAATATGCACCTATTCTCCAATATATATTAGACATTGGATCATACGCTCTGTTCGTTTGGGCTTGTTTGGCTGATAAGCCATAACTAAAAGTACTGTTGACTAATTTGGTGTGTGAAAAAAAATATTATTTGTTAATTAAAAAAGTACGACTTATAAATCAAACAAGCCCTAAACCAAACAAACCTAAGCCTAAACAATCAGGACGCTAACTAGCAGTGAAGAAGCATCATGCATTATTATTGCAGGTGCAATCTGCAATTTCGCTGATGCATGCATATGTTGCTAGTCAGTACTGGTTGCTGCTACTCCCCAACAAACAATAACAGTGACACCACTCCCCGGACCCCGGCCTGCGCCCCACCACATGCTGATTGAAAAAAAAACATGGCTCTGGAAGCAACTAAAAGGTGAAATATAAATTCATCAGAAAACGAAAGAACGACCTTTCAAAGTAATCAGCAACTAAATCCACTGATCCACCCAATCGTTGTACCCCAAACTCTCACGAGGTGTCCTCTGTGTCAGCCAATGGCAGGGTTTATTTGCAACCACGAAAGTATTGTAGTACCAAGAATGGAAATTCAAGGTAACCCTTTTATTGTTAAGATATGTGTGGTAAACCTTGACTATATATGGACTCTAGAGCCGTACATAAGACATTGGATCAATGGTCAAATCAATAGGACATAACAGAGGGAACCAAATAGTACAAAATAGTAACACCTTTTGGTGGCTTTATGTTTATAGTATTTCGCAAAAGATGAAATATGTCTACATCAAAACCGCAAGTTGTTAATATTTTATTTTAGCAAAGTTGAAAATTGTTTTGACTCATAACTTTGTAAGATACTAAACCATGCTCTAGGTGCTAGAAATTTATTTAATCATAATTAGTATATTGTTGTTCACTTTATAAATGTTATTTATACGAAAGTGATGCTAGATTTAATGTTTTCTCAATCCAAATACGCACCAAGTACCATATCTTTTATTCTCTGGTGGACACTATTACAGGTCAGCCTCACCAAATTGCTTGCAAATCTTATACGTCCCTTGCTTCTTGCTTGCCATTCATTTGCAAAAGTAAAAAACCACTCCTGATGAAATACAACAATATTATTTATTATTGCTTTAGTTTTTCTCCCGTTCATAGGATCTAAAAAACAATATGATAGTTGTAAAACGAATAAACATTAAATATCCATTGAGAAGCCAATACGAAATCCGTGTGGGCCAAGGAATGGCATGACTAGAAGGTGACTTTTTGCCGCCAAAATACATATTAAATAGATTCCGTGTATTTAAGCTTGGAGAAGGTTCCAAGGTATGCATTATAATGTACAACAATTATAGTAGGAATTTCAGTTATTATGCAAGTGACTTAAGATGGCACAGCCAGATGGTGTATTAATTAGTGTACCCCATCCATGATCAAACATTGTTATTTTCTAAATACAATGCAAATGTCACATGCCACTTCAGACTCACCATCTAGCTGATTTACTCTAAAAGAGCTAGCTTTACATTCAATTCCCCCCTAGTTGCAATTGAGAAATTTTCAGTTAAAAGCCAAACTAGTAGGCATGCACTGGTATATGTCATGATCATATTGCTTGGCCTCAATTAAACTGCTCACGCTTTAATTTTGCAGAATTACACGTACTCTTACAGGCTGTTCGGGGGGCCGTATTGTATCGCGGATTATTTACTTGGCTGGTTTGGTGTGAGAGAAAAATATTGTTTTCGGCTGTAAATTTACGATCATTTACGAGCAAGCGAACAGACTGTTAGCAGGTAAAGAGAGCAGGAAAGGAATCTAGTCTAACCAAGCGTCAAAGAGAGAAGGGAGATTTCTTTGAAGAATGATGGCTCGTAGCTGGATCGTCCCGGCCCGTCGGTTTTATTCCGGAGGCTGGAGCACATTTCACAACTACGCCGGTTTGTTTGGACTTATTTATCTTATAAATCATATTTTTTTTGTTAATAAATAATACTTTTCTCTCACGTTAAATCAGCCGACCAAAACTTATCGACCAATCAGCCCAAACGAACGTGTCACTGGTAGGTACGCTCCCGGCCAGAGTTTTTCTATATGTCGTTTCACACAAGGACACAAGTAAGGAGCCGCATTCATTACGGGCTCCGAGGGGCTGCTCCCGCGGGTGGGCCCGTACCGTCACCATTCGTACGGGCACGTGCGGCCCCCACCTCTTTACGGGTCGTCCATTGGATGCTGGACGCCTTGGATATGTCCTGTGCGCCCATCATGGAGCCAAGGGCCGCCGTCCCCCCTGCCCTGCTCCTCCCTGCCTTGGACTCTTCTCCGGCGGGAGCCGGGCCGTCCACCGCGCATCGGACGACGGCCGTCCGTCGACGGGGGCAGCAAGGACACCGGCACCGTTTGTCCTATACAAACGGAGCCCAGAGGGCGGGGCCTGTGATTCTGTGAAGCTTGCCGCCATTGCTGCCGCTCGCTTTCACCCACACCCGACCCCGAACCACTGCTACCACTCGGGGGTGTTTAGTTGCACAAAGTTTGCACAGGTAAACTTTGTATAGTAAAGATTTTTTATTATAGTATTTTGTTTTTATTTGTGAATTATTATCTCCAAATATTGACTAATTATACTAAAAGATTCGTCTCTAGCAAAGTTAAAGCAAACTGTGCAATTAATTTTTGATTTTATCTACATTTAATACTCCATGTATATACTGTAAGTTTAATGTGACAGAAATTTTTTTTTATATAGTGCATATTTTAGGAGTTTAGAGAAATTAAACACGATTGAGAGAGAATGGAAGGGAGATGATAGTATACGGAAAAATAATATTTTTTTTTACCTTTAGTCATGTCGCCTCTCACCTCAGTGTCCTTGTCATCCCTTTCACCTAAAAGCCCTAACAGTGCCGCCTCTGCGGCGCGACTTTTTTTCCTCTACGGCTGTTGCTATTCCTCCCCTCTGTTCCATCTCCCAGTTGCTCCGCAGATCTCCCCTTTTTAGGCCAAACAATCCATCCACCACCACCACCTGCACATCCCCCTCCAAAAATAGTAGTAGCCGGCGGCATGCAGATGCGATTCCCCACACCTTCTCCCCGTTCCTGATGAAGCTCCTCCGCCTGAGATCAATGGGCCTATGAGACGACGAGCAACGCCAGTCAGCAACCAGCCACCACTACCAACCAGCCAGTCTCCAGGTGAGCTGAGCAACAAGCAAGGGTATGCACCACTCTCTAAGTCCAAGCTAAGCCTAATGCCTAATTTAGATTGAGGTTAGAAATTAGTATTTGGTATTATAGTATTTTCGTTTGTATCTGATAATTATTGTCCAATCATGACATAACTAGACTCAAAAGATTCGTCTCGTAATTTATAATCAAACTATATAATTAATTATTTTTTTATCTATATTTAATACTCTATGTCTAAAAATTTGATGTGATATAAAAAAGTGAAAAAACTTACAATCTAAACAAGACCCTAAGCTCTTTTTATCTTTTTCCTCATCTCTTCTCTTTGCGGAATCTCGAGCCAGCTTCAGCTCCAACTAGAGCTCCTGCTGGAAGCTTCTCCATCCACCACTCCGACGCGCGCGGCCGCCGCCGCCGAGATCAGCCGCCATCGCCACCAAAGGTATACTTGCTTGGAAGCACGCCAATGACTGCATGCTGCCTCTCCAAGAAAATACTGTAGAATCCATTCCCCATCCCCACATGTATAATAATTTGACTGACCGCATATCATACACTAGCTTAGCTTGCTCTGAAAAAATAATGTTTCTTGTAAGTATCTTTTCTTTTTATGCATAAATATGAAATATGCATCGCTTTCACACGCACATGGACAGGCAAAGAAGAGATCGATCGAGGAGGGCGCCCAGATATATAGATCCCAAAAAGGCGCATGTAATCACCGGCTGCATCATATCAATCGTTCATGTGTTTGTATCTGATTCGTGGATGGCAGATTAATCGATGGACCTGTCCCCGAACCCCGAGAGCCCGGGAGGCGGTGGTGATGGCGGCGGAGGCGGAGGCGGAGGCGGAGCCGGTGGATCGAGCAGCGGGGCGTCTTCGTCGGCGCCGGGCGGCGGCGGCGGCACGCCGCAGACGCCGAGCCGGTACGAGGCGCAGAAGCGGCGGGACTGGAACACGTTCGGGCAGTACCTGCGGAACCACCGGCCGCCGCTGAGCCTGGCGCAGTGCAGCGGCGCGCACGTGCTGGAGTTCCTGCGGTACCTGGACCAGTTCGGCAAGACCAAGGTCCACACGGCGCCGTGCCCCTTCTTCGGCCACCCGAACCCGCCGGCGCCGTGCCCCTGCCCGCTGCGCCAGGCGTGGGGCAGCCTCGACGCGCTGGTGGGCCGCCTCCGCGCCGCCTTCGAGGAGAACGGTGGCCGCCCGGAGTCCAACCCCTTCGCGGCGCGCGCCGTCCGCCTCTACCTCCGCGAGGTCCGCGAGCACCAGGCCCGCGCGCGCGGCGTCAGCTACGAGAAGAAGAAGCGCAAGAAGCCGCAGACGCCTGATCACGCCCGCGGCAGCGGCAGCGGAGGCCAAGGCCCTCACCACCCGCCGCCTCCGGCCCCGCCGTCCGCCGGCGCGGCGTGCTGAGGAACAGTGCTACGATCGACGTACGCACCCATTTGGTATGCCGGCCGGACTGATGAGCATATTTTATGTAGGTTTCGATCGATTTGCTGGTGCATGCATGCGTGGTTTATTTGCTACTCCTACCATTTTGCTTGCGATGCTTCTTCTTCTCCTTCGGTTAGACTGTCTGTCGATCGTGTGCCGTGCCCGTGCTACATTGTTATTTTGCTTCTGCTGCTCTCTCTACTGCTACGACTAGCTTCAGTTGACAGTTCCTAGCTACCGCTTATTTTTCGTGTCAAGCAGTTTAATTTGCTGGTGGAAGAAATCTTATCATTGGATCAATGAATTGAAGCCTACTGTAACTTTTCATTCAGTACTGGTCATTGTAGATGAAGATGGAATTGTGTACCGTGAGAGGACATCATGTCCTCAATTCAAAGTACAGAGAGAGGACGAGAGAGCTAGCAGCCTCCCATGACCATGCATCTCTCTGTCCTCTGCAGTTCTTCGCGCATGCCAAGTCCCATCGAGGACGTACAAATTTGACGCATCTCATCTTTGGCTTTCTTTCTAGTTCTGATTCCTGTGCCGCTTCCTTTCTCTGGTGCGCTCTTGCGCTCGATCGGCGCCGCGCTAGCCAGCGAACTGCTCCGCACTGCACTGCACTGCACACCACCAATGAGCAGTGTGACAACGGGCATGGCCGGACCGATCGATCGAGCGTATTGTCGCTCGCACTGGCGCGGCGCACTGTTGCATGCCATCCACCGTCCCATGGCTCGGTGCATATCTTGCTAGATCCTGTCTGACGGTTGAACAGGATGCCACTGTTGTTCTTCTCTAGCGCGCTCGTGCCACTGGTCGGGCTGCCGGCTGGCCGGCCGGGTTCGCCACCTCCAGCTGCTGCAGTGACGCCCATAGGGAGTCAAATGGATGAATAGTAGCAACATGTGTGCTGTGTGCCCCTAGCTACCTCTCCGGCTTCTAGTCTGTAGCACTAAGAATTCGTGTACAAGGGTGTGCGGCCAAATAAGGAGATGTTCATTGATTCACTGTAGTTAGCAGCTGCATATCTACTACGGCTCTCTTGTCGAGCTGCATGCATGCACTGATTGCATTATTGCTACTGGTAGATTAGTTAGTATACTGCCGTTTTGACATACATATACACCAGATTTCATTGGTTTTGCCTGGTCTCTGATTCCTGATTTCATGCATGCAACAAACTAGTGCTGCTACATATCTGCATGCAGTCTCTATCTATGTGTTAACATGATAAAAGCTCTTTTATTTGCAATCCCCAAGCAATCAATTGGTGATCTGATAATAATGTGATTTTATATATGACCAAAACTGGATTAGTAAAATGTTGGGTTAGAAACAGCTCTTGATCTGAACTTACTAATAACTTGTCATAAGGTAAGTAAGCTACAATATATATAGTTGCTAGCTTTCCACGATCAGCATCGTCCATTTAAGTTTGCACATATAAATTGAACATTGATGGTTTGTTTTCCCTCTTACTCTTCATTTTATGTGCTCATGTGTGTTGCTACTAGCCAATTAAAATTATTTAGTTACTTAAATGCATGTGCCTTGTTTGATATGATTTTACGGGTTCTCTAGTTTTCTGAATGTTTTGAAGGATCAATACTAAGCCTTACTAGTAGTAATAGGATTTGTAGAATTAGATAGTGAGCACATATATTTGTAACATACTCCCACACACATACTTTAATTACAACTTCATAGAATATTTGGAATTTTGACTCGTGCTAACACAAGTCAACACCTATTGTGCATGTTCATAATTAAGTTATGTTATTGGGTTCTTCAAAACAATCCATTACAACCACAAGACAAAAATCGTGTTGTTTTCAATAATGTAGTCCCTGGTTTCTAAATTGTTGGTCGGTTTAATATTATCTTAAGTCAAACAAATAAAACTTTGGCCAAGTTTATAGGAGAATGGGTCAACATCTAGCACATCAAAATACTTTTGTTAGTTATATGGTTTTGTAAACCGCACATATTTGTCTATAAACTAGGTCAAATTTAGAGAAGTTTGACTTAGGATAAAACTAAAACAACTTTCAATTTTGGATGAAGGGAGTAAACATAAAAGCATGAAAGGAGATTACATTGCATGAAAATGGGGTATTTGTCTTATTGAAATCGTATAGCACCAATAAAAATACAAAAAGAATATATATTGAGCAAAGTAGAGTGTATTTCAAATAGTTTGTAAATTATTATAGGTTGTTATATGATTTTTTTTTAAAAGTACAACAACTAATTGCCAATGTCATGTACAAATTAGAGTAATGCCAGCCTAACAATGTATCTCTCTGGATGCTTTATTAAGTGAATCATTTCACTAAAAATTGACAATAATGAACTCCCATTTATCTTTCTACAACTATGAACAAATTCATTACTTGGGCTATAATCAGAAATGTGGTAGTACAACTTACTATGATCTAATAGTATTCAAATGGGATTGAGATATTATCTATCAAATGGTACTATTTTCTTTGACTAAGAGAAACTTAAGCAATGCATTGATTCTTGTACTCATGGTAATTAACCTCACTCAAATCCAATTTTTAGATTGTTAGAAGTGAGTTTTGCCTATAAAAAAGATATTTTTCAACTTTATAAGGTTATGATATGGTTGTATTATATACTTTCTTCTTTTTTCCTTATTAATTCATGCTATGTGCTGATTTTGGCTGACAAGCTTTAGCTTCTTATATAAACATATTTAATTGTCAAATAAGAAGTGATGACCTCTAATATAATTTTCAAAAACTATCTCTGTGCACAGTAAAGTATCTAAGTGAAGTAATATTTTAGTGTTTATATTGCTAAACTGTTGTCAATAATTGATCTGTAATAGAAAAAACTACAAAGTTCAAAGTTGTCCCAAAAATATTATAGGATTATTTCCGTATGTGATAATTCAAAGATGATATGTTTCGTGTCCATGCCAACACCATTTGTAGTTGTGCCGGTAATTATATTACTCCCTCATATCACAAATAAATGAAGTACGAACTAAAGATATATACTCCATCTGTTCTAAATTATAAGTTGCATTGACTTTTTTTTAGCATATCCATTTTGCTATGTATCTAGATATAATATTATATCTATACATACCAAAATGGATAAATCAAAAAAGTCAAAGCAACTTATAATTTAGAACGGAGGGAGTACATTCTAAATTTTGACTACAAAGTGCCTTTTACATGTTGAGTTTGAATGATGTAATATATATTATATTAGCAGATTTGTGTCTTGAACTTTCATAAAGTGTTCCTTTTAGAAAATTTGGCATCAGACAAACTCGAATAAATCAATTACTTGTGACCGGCGGGGGAGTGTATGTGTTGAAAGCAACGCTATTTAATAATAATTTCATTCACACAAAAACAGCTGGAATATGATGCAGATATAGCCTCAATTGGGAAAGAATGGTAGAAGTATAGTACTTGTAGGAAAATAATTGTATTTTAAATCAATAAACGTAGTAGCCTGCTGAGTGTTGACCAAGCATGAAGCGTCCAAAAAATTAAACCAGAGATGGTTCCTATAGCTCATATCTTAAACTTTATATTTGCTGGTCGTGTATATTCAGAGGATACAGTGAATTGCATTTTCTGTTATTGTATAGAGGGAATGTTGTAGTGACGTAATATATAAAGTAGCTCTCACGTGCAATTCAACATGATTCAGAAAAAGCTCTCGGGCGGATCCAATTTTTATATGAAAAAGAGTTGACGAAACTGGTACATCGAAACTAAATTGGCAAATGGTTCGATCTGAACCAAAACACCCCCACACACCACAGAAAAAAATTATTATTCAATCTGTTTGCACCATCTCACTCGCAGGCCAAAGAATGTTAGAGTTTATATATATATATATTATATATATATATATATATATATATATATATATATATATATATATATATATATATATATTTCCTATTAAGAATTTCAATTTTTGTATCCACAGATATATATAATGTTTGTACTAATTTATAATAAAGTGAATACATATTTACGATACATGTGTTACTACCGTAATGTTATAGTAAATCATTTTGGAGCTAGGAGTTGCAATAATCTCGTAATAGTACATCCGTTATGCTCAAAGTTATCTATGGCCGGTCATTGAGTATACCACACACACACACATTATCTAACTAATTACATGTTTCCTTTTTATCAAAGTAATAGTTGTCCTTAAGTATTTGTTTAAACATTGTTTTTATTTTCACAAATATAGCCAATAAGAGTTCAATTAGTTACATGTATATACTAGAAAAGAAAATTAGTTTGGACATAGAAATTATATAGTATCTCCAATTCAGATAGGAAACCACTATTTCTGTCCCACAAATTAAATTGTCATTTTAATTTTGTTAAAATAAGCCAAACTATATTAGTTCGACTAAGTAAAGAGTATCAACATTTGACATCAATATATAATTTGCATGATGAACCTAATCATACTTTTTTTTGTTTTGCGAATTATACACGAGTACAGACGCAATTTCAAAAATATTAGTATTTTACAAACTTAGTTAAACTTCATATGGTTTGACTTAAAATAAAGATAAAAACATCACTCTTTGCAAGGTGTGGAGGTAGTTTAAATCCATCGATCGGCAAAAAGTTCTCCTTTGGTTTATGCTGCTCGCTCCTAAGTTATCTAAGAGGTACCACGAATTGCACCTGTAATTAAACACTTCGGAACATTGGCCCTATGTGTCCTTGTGCGTGGTGTGGTATGGCCGGGCAGGGGGCAATAATATAAGTTCATGGATGTTTCATTTAAATTAGATACCATATGTTACATAGGTAAAACTAATGACATGGTATGAGCACTCAGAATATTTTTCATATCCGTAAGGTTTTGTATAGCCTGCGACGACTTCATCAATCTTGAGATTTTTCAATCCTATTTTTGTCTTCCGGAGGTGCTCACAAGGGTAGAATTTGTGTGCT